TCAGGACATTGTTTTCAAGAGCTTGATTTGGGGGAGGGGGGGTGCTATAGTTACTCTAGAGTAAATATGAAAACTACATTGCTGATATACACACATTTAAAGTGGTTTTGGTTTTGGTCCTGGATGACCTTGGTTGTGCTAATCAGCTCAACACAATTGGTTGCAACTGAATGTCCAATTCAGATCCCAGATTAAATCAGCCTACAGTGCTGCTGATGTGCTCAGCTTGTAGCAGTGCAGCTGAAAATCATGATAGACTAATGAAAAACTATTGAAGGCTCAAAGGACCAGACCTTTTTGAGGACTGTACAGAAGTTTAAAATCTGCTAAGGATTTGTTTTAATTGGAGTGCTTGTTTATGTGAACATGACCTAAGCAAGAATACTGTAGAATTTACTGATCTAATGGGATCTTTTTTAAACTTCCTTTTTACCTAACTAGTTCATTTCAATGGTGAGATAGAGTACTTATCAACTGCTAATGATTCAGCAAATACTTGGATTTCATCAGTATTTCTCTAGTTTTTGTTATATTAACTGTGTAACAAAATTTGCTTTATTTTCCCTTATCAGACCACAATATTATCATTTTCTGGCCTCTGTACTGTTCAAGTTCACTTGCTGTTACTTGCTTGAAATAGCCAAGTAGGACAAAGATTGCTCATGAGAAATACCAGTTGGAAAATTTCATTCGGCCTTGTTCTGAAAGTCATTAAAACATGATTGTATTATACAATCAGGTTTAAAAAACATTGTTGGCTTTATCAGATTAAATTGTCATTGTTACTTTTGAATAAGGATGTTTGTTATAGGAAAACAATTTTGCAATAAACTTCTGAATAAGTATTCATGGTTACTGGCATTATAGAAGTACTCTGCTGTATGCATTCAACTGTCATATATTAAGTATGGTAGGAAAAATGCTTAAAGCCAGTAAATTTAAATTGAAATTATATCTAAATTATAAAAGAATTTCCTAAGACTAATTAGAATTATATAGCAATAATCTAAAATTAGAGCAGTTAATTTTAGAGTTACCAGAAATTGAACATAGGGTTGGGTTCTGATTTAATTTCAGTGAAGATTCACTGAAATTAATGGAACTATGACTATGTCTGGATTCAACCCAGTATGTACAGTAGTTGGCAAAAAATCATCAATGTATTAAAATTACATTGTACTAAGATGTAATCTAGATAATATTAGTCCACATGGCAAGAGAGGGTGAGGATTATGTCCACCGTATTTACCTCTGCACTTTCAGGGTCTGCTTTATGTACATGAAGGCTCTAGACACATGGCCTGCACTATGTCCTAATAGAGAGTACAGGTCATTCAGAGATAGGTTTGTACAGTTTGCATGCACATAAGCTCTGATGACGTGCTAATGAAAAGGATAGGGCAGAGCAAGTGGACATGACATTCATCTTCCCTTGCAGACATAATACTGATTTAGATTACAACTGAATATAATGGAAATTTAATTCTTGGTAACGTTATTTCATTTATGATTACTGATATACTGCTTCCTATAATAAAGTGCCTAAGCAGTATACATATGAATATTAAAATCACATTAAAATACTGTTAAATTCCAATTCAGCTGTAGGTACAATAGAAGCAGTATACAGAACAGTGAGACAAAAAAACAAATTACTAATTATAATTCCTTATAAGCTAGAAAAAGCATTGGTGAACAAAGACAGGGAGTCTTTTAAGCTTACCACATTTTCTTCTTCTCAAATTACACAAAAAGTTTTTTCCAGAGGGCAGGTAGCCACTACCAGGAAGACCAGTTTTCAAACAATTTAATGGCAATATTTTGTTCCTCATAGAATAACCAGCAAAGCCTTCTCTGAAGATCTTAAAAAGGTGACTGCTTATATAGCAGGAAAGGCAGCCTGCTAGTTATTCTAATCCCAGTCTTTTGTTGTGCATGCCAAATTGTTTGAGTAGGCAGATATTAACAAAACTGTAATAAAGAAGGAATGTTTTATAAAATGTTACCCGAAAGGAATTGTTTCGTGGTATTCATTAGCCTCTTGACAGTATTGTTAAGTTTACATAAGGTACTTTATGTGTTCTAGTCAATTCATGTTAGATCATTTCTGATCTGTATCATTTAGTCAGGAAGAACAATTTACATCTGCCACTTTTGAAAAGCATCCATTTATCCATTTAAGTGTGCTCGCTTCGGCAGCACGTATACTAAAATTGGAATGATACAGAGAAGATTGGCATGGCCCTTGCACAAGGATGACACACAAATTTGTGAAATGTTCAATATTTTTTTGGTTTTCAATGTGGATAAATGCAAGCTCTTGCACTTGGGGCATAGGAATGGGTGTCATAGGTACAGAATAGGGGACAAGTGACTGGAGAGCAGCACTTGTAAAAGGTATCTTGGGGTATTAGTCACTGTAGACTAAACATGAGTCAGCAGTGTGACACAACAGTCAAGAGGGCAAACGCCACCCTTGGCTGCATAGCCAAAAGCATGGCTTCTAGATCAAGAGAGGTATTACTGCCACTCTATATGACTCTGGTGTGCCCGCAGTTGGAGTACTGTGTTCAGTTCTGGGCTCCACATTACAGGCAGGATATAGCTAGGTTGGAATCAGTGCAGTGTAGAGCTGCAAGGATGGTGGCTGGATTGCAGGAAAAGCCATATGAGGTGAGACTGGGGGAACTGGATCTTTTCAGCCTGGAGAAGAGGAGACTCCAAGGGGATCTGTTGTGACATATAGGTATGTGAGGGGGTGTCACATGAAGGTGGGTTGAGACCAGTTTTCACCTGCAGAAGAAGGCAGGATGTATTCCAATGGAGCAAAGCTCAGGGAACCAAGGTTCAATTTGGATGCCAGGAAGTACTTCCTGACAGTTAGGACTCCTAGGATATGAAATGGACTTCCACAGGAGGTAGTTGAGGCCTCATTGGTGAGGGTGTTGAAGGATAGGCTAAACATGCACATGGTAGGCATGTCATGAGCAGAGCTGGCTGGAGACAAGGATCAGACTAGATGGCCCAGGAGGCCCCTTCTGACTCACTCTCTTTCTATGTTTCTACATCTCACCCATTCTCAAGCCATTTCAAGTGACTTTGTTGTGTCCCAATGAAGTAAGCTTGGATGAAAGAAATTGTATGCATCATTTTAAGCCAAAATTGTAACTCAGAATAGAATTGTACAGTTGGAAGGGGTTTATGTGACCAAAAGCCCGCTGTTCTACTTCCATATGTGATCATCCATCAGGCTACAGGGTAGCTCAATGTATAGCTATGCAAGCAGGAACATAAATCAAGATGAAAATGATCCATATGTAGTCTATTCACACTATTTCACTTCTCTCTTCCTGCAAATCTTACCAGGAATTGATTAGTTCTGTGATGTCCAAACCTAGGATTATCACTGTGCTTTCAAACTACCTAGGATTTTAAAGCCAGCTTTAGAGTGAGATTTGCTTTGGGTGCACTAAAATAACCTGGGTTTAGACATCACAAATGCAATTCTCATCCTAGTTACGTTTACCCACACATGTTAAGAGAAAATTGGAATAGGATAGATTGGGCTGTATTCACTGGCTCACTCTTTGTCCACATCCTCATATATTAAATCATAATTGTTGAGTTAAATTGTGAACTTGATCAGTGACTTGTGCATCTCTTCTTTCTGAATTGCATAACTGATAAAGGATTCAAAACTGAATTCAGCCCCAAATCTCTAGATCTTTAGCAATCTATTTTTAGATTTCTCTGTTTTCAGTTGAACCAGAGCAAAGAACTGGCAATGCTGCCTCCACTCACTCTCAGATGACTGAGGGTACAAGCAAAGTTCTTTAACCCATTCCTTCTTGGCCAAAGATTCCACAGCTCATTTAAAAATTAGCTGATTTCCATAACAATGACTGTGATACCATACTTAGGGACTATTCTGGGGGCTAAATAGAAGCAAGGGTGAGTGACACATATGCTGTATGCCAATCTTGCTGTCCTCAGTGTGACCTTCAACCACCTGAAGGTGTGCACCCTGTCCTAGTACCTGGAATGAGCCTCCGGGGCACAGTTGTGTATCCATGTAGCAGCTACTATGCTTAGATTCATCTACACTGTCTTGAGACTGCTCAAGTGTCAGATAACCAAAGCAGCACCCTTTTTCTCTCCTTCCCTTAGAGATAGAGCTGTGCAGTCAAACACAAAGTTATTCTGACTCAGTCTTGTGTGACTTTGTATGATATTATTTGATATGTCTAGCCACCATATGGATCCTTCAGTACTATCTCAGTTTCCATTGCTGTTTCCACTACCTTACTTGAAGACTGCAATAAGCCTCCATATACACAATTGTTTTCCCTTGGCTTTTGTCCTTTTTTTAAAGCCAATTATGGCACCGTGCTTATTGTAAAATGGTTGAGAAAAGCCCTCTGGCACTAGATGTTACTAAATATCATACAGAAAAATAAACAAAAAGCACATATGATTAGAGTTCTAGCTTCTATGGAAGCTCATGAGCATACATCCATGTATAACATGTGGACATCAATGAACAGGGTGTGATGATTTATTTACTTATTTGTTAATTAAATCTCTATCCTGCTATTAGCCAAGGGAACTCTCTGGGTTGGTTACACTGGTGCCCCTTCCTGAGTGTGGACTCCCTGTCCATATCAGTGGATATGTTGCTAGTTTTCTATTCCATGTTCATGGCATGTCACCCAGCTACTGTTGAGTCACTTGATGTACAGCAGGGCAGTCTTTGCAAAGGAGCTGTGAACTTGTAGTCTACTTCAGGTGAAAGGGAGAGGGAACATTTTTTTTTTGCCTGTGAGATCCAAGAGGGACTTGGATCTCACAGGCAAATATCTCTCTCTCAAATATTTTCATTGAGAGAAAGTAAAATGTACGGTACCTTTTTCCGATATGATTCTGTAAAGCCGCAAGTGGTGTAAGTTTTAAAATTCTCATAGTATGGATTCATTTTCTTCTTTCTTGTTAAAATCATACAGGTATTACAACAGAAGCTGCTTTGAAGAATGACTTCTCAGAACAGGCAGCTAATATGCATGTCATAAATAGAGATGATGATGCCTGGGTTTTAGATTGCAGGTTGGAACTATCCACCCATTTCAGTGAGTCAGGAAGAGCCGACAGAAATGTGCTTCATCTAGACCTAAATGTAAGTAATTTTGTAAATTGTTTTACCTATTGATGTTTGTTTAGACAATTATTTTGTTAAATGGCATATTCACAGCATGATCAAAGCATGATCTAGTCACACAGCTGCAATGAGGTTTTTTTTAATGTTTATTATACATACATCCTGCTCTTACAAGAATTCATAGTAATCACCCATCCTAGAGGTGGATCAAGTCAGCTTCAGCTGTGCTACAGCCTCAAGAGTTTCCAGGAATATTTACCGTGTCACAGACAACACGGTCTAATACTAAAGTCAGCTGCATACAGTCACACAGCAGTAGTCAACCAATTATCAACCTATAAAGTAATGAATGAAGTTGTGAACCAATATAGATAATGCTGACATCTGTTGGCTGAGATACAGGAATTGGACTCAAAATAAATCAGATTGCTTTAAGTAAACTGGTTTTCTATCTTTTAATTCTAAGCCTTTGATTTCCTTCATAAATTAAAGTCTGTCAAATTTTGGCAGTACATGTATGCATATTTTAGGGCAACTATTTTAAACCATGAGAAACTGTGGCAAAAGCAATAACTGGTGTCTGACATGGATATTCTTTTATTACTGACTATTCCTAATCTTGTGATTACCTTACTACAGTTAAATAAAGAAAAGCAAATCCCAAAGCAATGGATGCATTCTATAGGTTGTACTTTATCCTGTGTGATGTGATACAGGAAACATTAGAATTCATTCATTTCAATGCTTTCTTGTTTGGTGGCTTTTACCAGGTAATTTTTTTCTCATGAACCTTTATCTGCACATTCTTTACCCTTGGAGTCCTTGTCCCTTAATATGCACATTTCAAAATTATATACTATAATAGAGGTTGCCCATCCTCTTTATTTTTGGTTATACACTGTAGAAATTACGATTTACAGCACAATATTGAGCAACGTGCCCTCCTTTTAGCCACTAAGAGTTTCCATTGTAATGTAATATGTTCCTGAATGTATTTATTACCTTTCTAAATAATAAATTATGCTTGATGAAAATCTTTTGTCTACTTTTTTATATTTTGAGTATGTATACAAATATAGATGGTAGAAAAGAAATAGCTATCCAGTCACACATGATTCAGCTCCCAAAAAAACTATACTATGAAGAGATCCAAGAGTAAAGTATAAAGAATGAATAAACAATTGCTTGGAATTTATATCTAGTCATATTTAAAATAGTCACTTGAAATCAAAGGGCCATAAGTAAGTATGGCTAACTCGAGATCCAACCCAATGTACAGTTGTTGACATACGGATATATGAGGACTCCAGTTTTGCTTGCTGAGAATATAGCTTCAGATTAGTCATTGAATATTTATTTGTAATATTTATATGCAACATCATTCACTAAAATTCAGGTCTATATAGAACAATTTAAAAGAATAAAACCTTACCTCAACAAAACAAGAACATTTAAAACAAGTAAAGCATTATAAATTATATAAGCTATATAATTCAAAAGGCTTTTTTTTTAGGTTTCTTCACATTATTTCTACAAGTCAAGAGAGTGAGGGCCAATCATAGTTCTTGAGGCATCACAGGACGTATGACCAACCAACAGGCCTCCGTGGGTAATAGTGCCCTTAAAAGGGCCTCTCCTGCAGATCTTACTATCTGGATTCCTCCCTTTGTACATTCAGAGCCACAGACCTTTCTTAATAAATGTTTTTTATTGATCAAAGAGTTTTCCAGAAGCACAAACTCCCAGAATTAATCTCTAAGCATGCACAGAGAGGTTTGTTGAACACAGTCTAGTATTTATTCCTAGGAAATCTTATGAGTATATTCAAGTCCCATCTGTTTGAAAGGGGTTTTTTGGAAATTATAATTGCTCTCATAATGGTTAGAATGGGAGGGAAAGCATTTTTTAAAGAAAACTTGTAAATAAAGTGGGGAAAGGAACCAAGTTACTGTAATGGGGATTAGAATGTCTTGTGGTGGAGAAATGGTAAAAGTCTCAGCTTTTACAAGTAATTTTCTGCTCTATTGACTTGCAGGTCAATGAAGCAATTAACTGTTTGTGGTAGACAGCAAGGTTTATCATCTTTGTGCAGAGCAAGTAATCTACCAAGGATAAGAACAAATTGCCTGAAAAAAAAACATGAACAAAGAATTTATACTTCTGTTAATATCACATAGCAGAAACACACTTTAGTCAATCACTAACATATTTATTTAATCCTAATGTATACAAATATGTAGCTACATATTATAATCAAACAGAAACATCTCCTATATCATTCTTGACTTATCTCAAGAAGTGAAACCTGATAGGAAGAATTGTCGTGACTTTCTTCCTTGCACATGTACACTTCTCCAAAATCTTCTGAGCTTTCTTCTTAACCCTTATAGTTCTCCCTTAGTCATTGCTTTTCTTCCCCCAGACTTGGAAATGCTGATATTGGATCTCTTTGCAGCAGTAGGTAGGATTGATCTGCCTGACCATGCAGTATGCTTCAGCTTAACAGATATGGAAGAAAACTAGGTTTGGGCCCTAAATTAATTTCCTTCCACCTGCATTTACAGTTTATCCCTGTGCCATATCCCACACCCAGTACCAGGAGCAGATTTTTTAGGAAACTGAAGTGGGAACTCTCCTCCAATCATAGGCGATAATTGAGGATCCAAGACAGTGTGATGCATGGCTTAGATTTCTTGATCTAGCAAGGTAATTACAGTTTTTAATCAGTTGCTCTAAATATCAAATAATGCTTTCTCTCAGAAAAGGAATGGGGAAACATTTGGACGTATATTTGAATATTAGCTGGTTCTTAACTGGCTATGTATTGAAATGCTAACTTTTTATATGTATTTCCTCTACTTGTTTTATCCTATATTCTTTTTTGCTGCAGTAGATCTCTAAAAATTATTCTTGTGCACTTTCATTTTGTTTTTCCTGGAGTGAGAAACTAACATAAATGAAAGGTTTCAAACTGCACAGAAATTGAGAATGTATCTGTCCCTACCACTGGAATATATCAAAGAACGGTTTTACGAAAATAGACAGTGACAGATTTCTACCTGTCCTGCTTTTTGCAGAGTTAATTACAGACTTTTGGGCTGTGGCTATTTGCCTTGTCCTCCCATATAGTTTCTAATCCATGGGTGTGGTGAAATAGTCTGATAAGTACCTGTTTATAGTCCACAAGAATAGCTGTGCAGAGTTTAAGGCACAGTAATATGAAACCAGTCTTGTTGGTTGGTGTTCACTCACTGAAATCTGCATTCCAGATGAAACCTGCAGCAAAGCGGAAGCGTGAAATTTTTTTATTCAGCTTCAAGGGCTTACTCAAACTTTTCAGCAATCACCACGCTAAAGAAGTTTAAAAGAAGGCATGTTGATTTTGAAATACTTTTCTCTTTTGAGGATTTTCCAGCTTTCTAATGTTTCCCTGCTTTGAAGATTCTGCTAACACCAACTTTTGATCACAATGAGAAAGCTTACAAGAAACTTTCAGGAGTTTTCTGCTGACTACTTTTTGTGAATCCTGGGCCGGCATAAGGAAGTAGCAAACTGCAAGTACCAGCTGTTCAGGGCGTTAAAAAAACTGTTGTTTAACTGTAGTTTTTAGTAAGTAAAAGGCTGTATGGAACAGGCAGAAAAGTAGGGATTCATGCAACAGTCAGTAATATTTCAGCTGATTAGTTTGAAGCAGATTTGCCTTGCCAAAAAAGGCTCTTTGTGTAAAGAATAAGTAGGCTTGCTGCTGAAAAAGTCCTGCAGTATGAAACATGATTCAAAATCTTCCTAGTTCTCCTGTGTTCAAGCTGTAAACTTTGACAGAAATTAGCGTTACAGACAACTAAGAAAGATAGCTGTATATTATCTGGAGCATCTACTTACTTCTATATGATTTGATTTATTCAACGAAATGAAAGACGTTGAAAGTAATTTTATAGAAATGAACCAGCATTTTTTCTTGGAATTTTAGTGTTGCTGCGACTCGACAAACATGGAACCAAATCAAAATTCTGACTGCAATCTAGGGATAGAAACAGAAGCTGGCTCAGTCCAGCCTCCCTTCCCTACATTTTCTATGAAAACCCTTTTTGGATTTACAACTAAATTGGAATCAGGCACTCCAAAAGAGCAAGCAGTTCTTAAAGGATTTCAAAATGTCAACAGGCATATTGGCAGCTGTGTTGACAATCAGAAAGACAGTAGTAGTATCAATGCAGATGATACAGATACAGACCATCTACTTCCAGAAATTTTGGAGGTGGAAAGAAGCAACAATGTTCAATCTACTCCAGAAGCTACTAGTGGCAGCATGTTTGCTCTGGGAACTGCTGCTGCCCAAGTTGTGGTTGACTGTGTTCCAAATGAACAAGAAGCCGTTGCTGATGCCTCAGACAACTGCAAAATTATTATTGGATACCCTGATGACTCCAAAGTTAAAATAAATTCTGAAGCAAGCATTGGTGTTCTAGATAGGGCCAATGGCTGTGGCCCAGCTGATTTGGAAGTGCAGGAAACAGAACCTAATGAGCCACCTCTTTCACATACAGATGCTCTATATTCTCCTTTGTCTGAATTCAGCAAACAAGTTGACAAGGATTCCATTATTATTCAGAGTGCACTGGTTCATCCAGCAAGTGACACAAGGTTGGACAATGAGGCTACAGACCCAGACAATCATGAAAATGTAGCAAACAAAATTTCCTTAAATGGTACGGTGTCTTTGGATGGTAATAACCAGAATACAGAGGAGAAGGAAACAGGAGCAGTATGGAGAGGAACTGATGGTACTATACATGGAAATACAGCAGAGGATATTTTACCAAATTCCAAACTGCCTTCAACAGAAATGGATGATACACTCCATGAAATTTGCTTAGATACAAATAATACAACACCAAACAGTGAGAAGAGCTGTAGCTCTGCTGATGCAGAAGAAAATGCTCAGGGGGCTGGAAAAGACCAGAGATCTCTTGCAAATAATTCCAGCACTGAATCTCTCCAAAGACCAGCTACAAATGAGAAGACCTTTCAGCTTCCTGCCTTCTTTAGTGGATTACGTGTGCGGAAGAAAGGATTTTCTGCAGAGGAGGAAACCGTTACTGAAATTAAAGAGAAAGACAGTGACTTAGCTATGCTTAAGTTAAGACAGCCTGTTAAAAATGCCAGTATTGCTCCACAGCCAGTTACTAAAAGGAAACTAATGGAGCCTAAAAATACTCCCACATTTCGGGAACAACTTTCTCAATTCTTCGGGCCTAAAACTGAGGATAAAGATGCTGGTGAGGTAATACGTGAATCTGGAAATAATGAGGATAGCCAAGAAAGCAAATTTCCAAGTGTGGAGCCTGCTTGCACCTCTGAAGAGGCAAAGCCAAGTCCTGCTGAGTCTGCATTGGATGCATTTAAAGCTTTATTCACACGCCCTCCCAAAAAAGAGACCACTGCTGACACTTCAGAACTGGAAGCAATAAAGCGCAAAATGAGACATGAAAAAGAATCACTGAAGGCAATATTTGAAAGATCTAAGTTAAAATCTGGTGATGGAGCTACTGATACAAAACCAGTAGGTCAATTCAAACTTTCATATGGCAATTCTGGAGTTTAGATACATTTTTTGATATTGGGATGAATGTAAGTTGAGAAGCCATGGTAAATACTGATGTAGAATGGCATCACTGAACTGAGACTGACAGTGCTTACCCATTCCAGTACTCAATTATACTGATGAACACTGTGCTTGTGGGAAAACACAATCTTGTACCAATTATCTTGTAGAAATACAGGTATTTATGTGTATGATAGCCCTTTAATGTGTAAACTGCTCTTCCTGTTTGGGGTTTTCTGTCCCATAACAGCACTGTGAATTAGCTGTCAGTGTATCTCCCATTTCTAAAATGAAGAACTGGAACAGTGTGAATCTATGGTTGATATGTCGATGATATTTATTAGAAACAACTAAAATATTGCAAGGTACTGAGCAAGCTTTCATGTTCTTGAAAAGGTGGGAAGGAAAAAACGTGTAGAAGAGTTGCTAAAATCATGTTTCCTTTGTATTTTACTGTATTTTAAATTACTGTTTTGTTTTGTTTCACCAGACTGATGTGGTCCTCTCAGAACAGGATGACAAGACACCAGGAAGACTCCAGACTATCTGGCCACCACCCAAAGCAAAGGATGAAGAAGAAAAAGTAGGATTAAAATATACCGAAGCAGGTAATATACAATAGTAAAGTTTTTATAAATAAGCTGAAATTGTGCTAGGCTTCTCATACAGGCTTTTACATAATCATGTTGTTATGCTTGAGAAGAAGAATGACATGTATCATTTCTGATGCTGTAATTAGTTTTCAAAGGCTGACAAGTAGGATTTTTGTTTCATGAATATTATTTTTAGAGTGCACTTCTGTTTGCGACTGTAATGCTTATGTCATACTAAATTATTACTTGAAATAAGTTTGAAAAGGAATAAAAATGAGTTGCTTATTCCTGTTGTTTTTACTGAAGTATAAACATTCATGATGTGACTGTTGCAGTCAGTGAAAATGCAACAAAGTTAATGCATTAACTCATGGACGCATTCTGTTCAACTTCTTTTGATTATTTGATGCATCTCCATGTTTTACTTTGATGTTTATAGTCAAAACACATTTTTTCAAAACCCACAGATTGAAAAATACAATATAGCATTGTTAATACTTGCTTTGGAGCACATGAAAATAGGCAATCAAATGGCTTTGTTCAGTTTTGCTTTGTAATTAGAGGGATGCAGAATATTCTGCAGTAGCTGCTTGAAGGTGGACAGTTACTAAATAGTACAGTGGTACCTCGGCTCATGAATGCCTCAGTTCATGACCAAATTGGGTCGCAAACAGAAATTTCAGAAAAATTTTGCCTCAGGTTGTGAATTCTGCATTGTGTAACGATTGTGATCGCATCCATTTTCCCTGCACGATCATGGTCACGCTCAGGATGGGGAGATGGCCACGCTCGCGCTCGGGGGGACATGACCACAAACTTTGTTGTTCTTTGTGACTTTGTTTCAAAATTTTGTGATTAAAAAAATGGTTACAGAACGGATTAACCTTATTTACATTGAAACTTATGGGGAAATTTGACTTGGCTCATGACCAGTTTGGGTCACGACCAGAGTCATGGAATGGATTAAGTTTGTGAGCCAAGGTACCACTGTATATCTACAAGAAATGCTATGTTTATTCCTTGAAGGGTGATTTTTTTAAGCCTTTCTAATATAACTTGTAGATGTAGCTTGGTCTTTTGTTTTAAAAAGCAAATTATAATACACACACACAAAGGTAATTCTTTGCATACTTTGGAGCACCTTATTTCATTGTAACTCCTAGCAGTACATCTGAGACTACTCACAAAGTTTTCTTGTGCCATGCAAGGCAAGGCAATGCATTTGTAAATAAGACCTACAAGAGAAGAGGTACAAGAGACTGGAAAAGAGAAAAGATCTTTTACCAGCAATTCCAATACTACTTCACTCCAAAATTCAGATACAAGAGAAAGACCTTTCAGCTTCTTGTGAAGGGAGGGAATAAAGGACTGCTGTGAAAAATTAATGACTGGGATTCTACTGCTGGATCAGAAACTTTCTGCTCATGGAAGGAGCTCCTCTGTCTGTAGGAGGAGTATTCTAGATCTGTCCCAGTGTGAGGAAGAAAGGGCTGTGCATGGTATAGTAAACTCAGACTGCACCCAGCTCATCAGTGTAGTATGATGGTATTCCAAGCCGATTATACATGGCTGGTGTTTGTTGCCATATAAGTTTAATTTTCACATAGGTTAACTATTGAAGCAGTCTTAATATGGTGTCTTCTTCAGCTGTGTTCCCTCCCAAGAGAGCCATGGCATTGTTAAACTTTAAACCAGGATTTGGTGTCAGTCTGAAGCAGCCCACAAAGGCTTTAATTCTAAATCTATGTTATTAACTTTTTTAAAAAGTTGTGATCCAGAAGAAATGGCTGGGAGTAAGCTGATGATATTCCATACAGGTTTTGTGAATGCTCCAGAATAAAATCAACGTCCTTGTAAACTGAAACAATATTATTTATTAATTTATTTAAAACATTTCTATGCCGCCCACATCACAACAAAGCCTCGGGGCGGCTCACAAAGAATACATAAAACATACATAAATAATAATATAGCAATTAAAAGAAGGAAAACAACAACAACAACATTAAAAAAACCCCGGTGCATTCTTGGCTAAAAATTTTAAAATCCTAATTAATACAATAATTTAGCAATTAAAATAAGTTTTAAATAAAAAGATCTTAGCCTTTTTAATCAGTAATCTGTGGTTTGTGTTTGTCCTCCAAATCAGAACTGTAAACCAATGTTTGTTCTTGCTTTGCAATTCTTGTTAGGAGAATAAGCACTAACTTGAATCTGTTGGTATGGATGTAATCTTGGACTATGGGTTTGCACTAAATAAAAAGCAACAAATTATATCTGAAGGAGCACATAGGGACTCACTCCTTTCAGTTTTCTCATTGACCTCAATGCAAACCAGTTCTATTTCTTGTATAACCACAGTAACACAAGGTCTTCTGCCAAGCAAAGACAGGGCCTGGTCTACTGCCCCTTGACTCAAAGGGATAAAAGCAAGAGTTTCCAGATAGCTCTTTCCTATCATTATGAGACAGTGAATGCATTTGCTTCCATTGCCTGTACCGGAGACAGTGTTTAATGGCAGACTTTCTCTTCATACAGAATATATTTCTTTTGGCCCTATGAGAGATGTATGGAAATTTTGTTTCAGCTAGCAAATCATTTTACTTTGTCCCATGCATAATTTCAAATGTGAATAGGAGCGTATTGTTTCCAAAATGTTTCAAATTCTCAAATGTCCAACCATACATTTTAATGCATTTTAAAATGCATTTTTCCAAATAATGCACATTTTCATGTTTTAGTAAATGGTGGAAAAGGTACACTTTTCCTCTTTTAAATATCTACTTCCCCCATTTGCACTAAAAGAAAAACAGCTCCCAAAAGGAAAGGGAGCAAGATGAGCTAACTTCAGTTCTCACTCTGCCATCTTATTTTTTTAATGTAACATTAAATGTGAAAGCTATGTACTAGAGTTCAGAAAATCCTACACAATACAAACAGCTCCAGTTCTCTAATCCCCAGGCCATAGTAATGCCAAAATCTAACATTGCCAATCTACCACTTGATTGTTTTCCTTCAGTTCATTGTTGAGTAACTAACAGGAAAAGCAGCTATTGCGGGGGGGGGGGGGGTCTTTTTTGTTTGCTTGGTGGTGGTGGTGGTCATTGTTGTTTAACTAAACTATCTTCATTCCATGTACAGTATCAGGAAGTGGTTTGACTTTAGGATGGAATGAACCAGGGGATGGATGGGAATCAGAATGGTAACAACATGGTAAGGGCAGGCATCCTATTAAGAAAATTGCAATCAAAGCACCAGAAGAATGTATGGAGTCAGACCCAGGAAAAAGATTGAGCTACAAGGCAACTGTATAGTGCTGAAGGGCCAGAAAAATGCAAGGTCAAAGGCAAGCAAGAGTCCTAGACCAAGGCAACATTCAGGAAATGGTAGATGACTGTGACTTGTCTGTGATGTATCTTCATATAGCTTTTTATTTCTGCAGTGATATTTTGCCTCTGAAATGTGTAGATGAAAACACAGTATGCTGCCAAATGAATATGACATTTAAGGGTGTTGTGCATTGCACTGACTATCATCAGAAATGTTTCTTGCTATTGGAGCAGTGCTTGTACTTTGGATAATGTCCTGTTAAAAAGCTAATAGTAAAAAAGTGAAAAAAGAGGAATTACTGTTACTGATGGTAAATTCTCACACTGGGAATTTATATTACTTTTTTGGCTTTCTGTGGCATGCGTCTAGTCAATTCCTTCTTTTGCATGTTTACAAAACTCTGTTCCTTTAATCCTGTAGCAAAGACATGCTGTCTCTATGGCACCTCGATTTCCATGGGAACAGATTTGATGCTATAAATACAATTTTTATTCTGGTGTGTGAAAGAAAAGGAATACTGTGAATGGGAAACCTATTAAAACAAAAATTCCATACATGTATTATTGAGAATAACACTTTTGCAGAAGAAAAGAATTCCAACTCTATTGTAAATTGACATACAATTCACAATGTATTATGAATTATAATGTGTGTTTATTTTGCACTGAGAGATACTTGGGGTCTGACATTTTGAATGTAGGTTTAGAAATCATAAATTCATAAATTTGTGTTGCCCATTATAAATGAAAAATGGGGAAAAGTTAAGGCACTATCTCTTTGATTGCAGATTATATACAATCCAAAGGATCATTATATCCTTTCATCTTCTGAACAACTGGTGTTGATTATGGCCAGATTAATAACTGGGACCCTTAGGTCCAAACGTATAAAACTGGTTCTGAGCCACTTGTACTAACTGCCTGGATGTTTCTGGACCCAATTGAAGGTGGGCAGCTGGTTTGCCACTGTGTGTACAGAATGCTGGACTAGATGGATCTTTAGTCTGATACAGTATGGCTTTTCTTACGTTCTTAGGGTGTTGGTTTTAATCTATAGAGCTGTACATGGCTTGGGACAACAATACTTGTCAGAGTGCCACTCTCAGCTGAGCTGTGATCTACGTGGACACGGTACTCAACCTCTGGGGCCTTCCTCCAAATGCCAACTCCAAGGAAGGTTCAGAGGGTGGCAGCAAGGGTAAAGCCACACTTTCTTTGTGGTGACCTCCCATCTATGGAACAATCTCCCCACTGTGGCCTGCCTGGCAGCAAACTTGTCAACAGGTTAAGATGGTCCTTCATGCCAAGGCCTTTAAAGACTTACTTGGACACCCAGGAGTTTTACGGGTTGCCCATCCCATGTGATTTAACAGGATCATTCTTTGTTGTTGTTTTCAACCATTTTAAACTTTTTAATGTTTCTATGACAATGTTTAATGTTTTATGATATTTTACTGTATTTTATCTTGTTTTATGGGTCATTGTAAACTACCCAGAGAACCTCAGTTATGGGTTAGTATAGAAATGAAATTAAAAATAATAATAATACAGAATTGAGTAATCTTATGAACCAAAACAACAGTTAGTTTAAATAGATTTACTATATTTAATACATTGATTGATTGATTGATTGATTGTATTTGTATGCTGCCCCACATATATATACTTGAACCAGTAATATATCTTTTGTGCTTGTTCTCCAGATCAGAATTGCAAGGTATTATTTGATTCTGTTTTGCTGTTATGATAGGCACATGTATAAATCATTGCTTGCTGGTTTGATTGTAATGCCATACTATAGTTTGCACTAAACAAAAATTAATAATTTGAACCTGAATGTTTAAGGACAATATATGAGACCATTGGACTTCATCAGTTCCCTGAACTGTGGACATTCCTGAATTTATTCTGGTGCAATATGGCACAAATAAAGTAACCCTTTATTATGGTTCCTCTGTTTGAAATTGACAACAGGAGTTTGAAACGTGAATGGCCTGTTTAACCTCAATAAATGTTTACCAGTTGGGTGGTAATTATTTGCTGCATTGGAATCTTGAATGTTTGGCACTGTAACCAGATAATTACTTTATTTACCATGTGATCTGGCAGCTGACTAATTTTTCTGTAAACAGAGTTGCTTCATTGCTGCCTTACTGAAAAGACATGAGTTAGGGTGTGGAGGGTGGGTGAATGCCATTTGTAAAATACATTAGTTTCAGATAGAGCCGTAGGAAGATCAGCAAGATAGTTACTCAAGCAAATGTTTGCTCTAACAATCCTACATTTGTACAAAGTAAACCTTTATTTTTCTTTGCAAGGTCTCAGTGTCTGTAGAAATGATTAAATGTAATGTGCTTTGCCATGGTTATCAAATAGCTTCTTCTTGAGCAGCATTTGGTTTAAAATAGCAAGGTGCTTATTATAAAACTGAGCAACCTCTACCCCATCAATTCAACATTCCAGACATTTCACTCCACACATTCAATAACATAAGAAATGCAACATAAATCATAACATATGGAACTACCAGCAGTTGCATCTTAACTCATCTTTGTGTGAATCATGATATTGTTCCGGGGTTTTAGTTTGTTGGCACAATGGCCTGCAAATTATTTTTGCTTTCTTAACTTTTAAAAAATAAATTACTGCTTTTGTTTTTAACTACAGTTGTGCACTGTTCATAGGGTTGTTGCTAAAGACTGGTTTGGCACAGAGGTTCAGTGATACCTGGAAGTAGCTGCACTCAGTGTGTAATATCAGTTGTAAGAGTACTTAAATGGCTACCAGTCAGTGTTTGGGCCAACTTATTGTTTTCATGGGGTTTTTTTCTGTATGCTACTTTGGGGTGCGGTGGGGTATTTATTTACAATGCTATTGTCTTATGGTGTAGAAGTATTCCATTGTTCGTATGAGGGAGATGACAAATTTGGTATATTGTTTTGTTGGCTTGTTGTGCTGCATGGATTTTTTAACCTTTTATTTGTAAAAAAAAATATGGTGGCATAGAGTTGAATATAAACAATGTAAAGCTACTAACCTGAAATTAGAACACAGCAACTAACTTGAAGTGCCCTGGCAAGGTTCATGACAGAGTGACTGCAGATTCAAATGGAAAGTGGTGATTCTAATCAACAGTTAACTAATCTAGAAGCAGCCCAAGATTGCAAACTTCATTTTATTGTATTATAATTTTCCATCAGACCAAATTAAACCATTCCGATTCTCACTATGTCTTAAAAATCAGAAAATACTATCATCAACATCACATTTTAATCCTACTTTTTTCCTGCTGTGAAGAACAGACAACTTTAATACTCCATTTAATTCTCGCAACACCCCTGTGAGATAGGTTGGGCTGAGAATCTGCAACTGGTTTAAAGTCACCTAGTGAACTTCATGGCCAAGTAGGCACTAGAACCCATATTGCCCAAGAGCACATTGAACAGGTTATCAGTGATTGGTAAAGATTTTTTAAAAATGTGCATGTGCACAAAATCTGCACATTTATTTTATTTTATTTTTAGCTGTCAAGGTGCAGGTGCATAGTTCTATGAAAATTGGAAGATTTGGCTGGGCAATATCCAGGTTAAGGGTACCTGCTGTTCAAATGCAGCCAGGACCAAACCCTGACACTGATTCAAAGAGACTTTATATTGCTTTCTCTTAATTGTTGTCAAAAGATGAGTTGCCAAGTCAAAGCAAAAGCACAAATGATCTCTCCTTGCAAAAAGTGGGTGGAGAGGTTCATAGTATGGTCCTCATCTTTTTCTGTTTTAACTGCCCTCTAGCTGCTTTGGAAAGTGCGCAAGTGTACTTCATCCCCTTTACTTTGGACAAGGAGTTTTGACAATGGGCTATGCAAACCAAGGGCCTACTGCAGACCCTGTCTCCTATCCCAGTGGCCCTGTTGATGTAGTGTGAAAGAAGTGCTCTTGTTGATTTCTTGCTGTGATGAAGTGTTTTGGAGTAATATAGAATTACTACACAGAAATTTCAGAAATAGTTTCTGGAATTCACTTGAAGCACAAGTAAAGAGGCTGAGCCAATCTGTGCCTGATAATAGCTCCTGGTAAAGCATTCACTTACTTAACTGCAGATCTTCCATTTTTAGCTGTTACAAACATCACAGAATGTACTTTGTAAAATGTATCAGCTTTGTTTTTAAATAATACAATGGTATCAAAACACCATAATGTTTATGTATCTATATAATGTTTATGTATCTAAATAATTTTAATGCTATTTCTGTAAATGCATTGGAAAATCATTAGAATATAATTATTTTATGCATGTCTCCTTGATCACTCTAATCTAGTTTACATATCTTAATTGTATAGGTTAGAAAAAATGTAGCTGTTTCAAAGAGGTTGGACAACCTATCATTGTCAGTGACCTTTGCTGTAGTTTAATTAGCAAAATAGAACTCAACTAAGGAATGACTACAAATACAAATACTTTTGTCCTGTTTAATGCTAATTTAGGGAGCATTCATTAAATAGAGGCTATGCTACTGACATCTTGTGGTTAAAGATGACAATTGCAAGGGGGAGAATGAGGGAAAGAGAAAGGCACTGCAAAATAAGGGAAGTGCAGCTGAGGGAGATGCTGAGTTTGAGCAAAAAGTGACAAAACAAATAGGTTTCTTAATCATCTCCCTTTGTCCTATTGACTTTTCAGGGGCTTTTCATCCAAATGGGAAAATATAAAAGATAGGATTCCATAGGAGGAAAAGCTGTTTGGAATGGTGATTTTGTGTGGGAAATGGAGGGTAGGAAATTAAGTATACTCCCTATCTGCCCTTGCTTCTGACTGCAGCTTCCCATTGTGCCTTTTCATTCTCAAACATTCTTGGGCAATAGCAGCTGAGTGTAATGTGTAAATTCACCATGACACAGTTGCCATTCTTGAAAAAGAAACTCCTTATTAATTACATGTTTATATGTGTGAGTGCGGAATGAGAACCTGATCATCTGTAATTGTGAAAAGTAAAGAAAATGTTATGGGAAGTTCAAAATCAGGGCATGATAGCAATATGCATCTATATATTGCAAAATATATTTCTATAATTCATACAACCTTTGTAAAATGTAGTATTTGCTATTTTCCATTAATTTATCAGTTTGAAGTCAATTATTTAAGAGGTGGTTAATACATAAGTGTTCTTCCATTAGTCCTAAACCTTTTGTATTATTAGTTTACTCCAAGGGTCATATTGAAAATGAATACTTTGTCTCCATTCAATGTTTGCAGGCCACCCATTCATATTGGGCACTATCTAATGCTGCTGCTCCATTTACACTGTAACTTGTAATTAACCTATCACTAGCAAAAGCAACCTGTAGTACAGCATCAATAGTATATGCTAGAGTTTTCCAGGAAAATTTGTTGTGCCACTGTACATTATTAGTATTGTGTTGGAGGTTGCTACTATGTCAGTGGTATAGGTAGAACAGCAGTGTTGAATACTGCCTGTTGCTTTCTCTCCACATCCTCACCTATATTTAATTCTTGTGTACATTCATATACCACCTACTTTCCAGCATGGAATCCAAGGCAGCATGCTTGGAATATTCAGGCAGTTTCCTACCCACGTGTTATCCTTAACTTCCACAGGTAGTTGTAAGATGTAGCTTCAGACTATACCTGGGACCAAATGATGAGATGCTTTCCCTTGCTGTACTATTTAATTTACTGAATTCATAGAAGTGTCACCAGCCAGAACAGAGACTGACATTCAGTAAATCATGCCTCCAATTCATTTCCTCCCATTTGCTGTCTGCTCCTATTTGTTGCGTATTCAAGCTACATGGGATTTGTAGTTTGGAGGAAAGTGGGAAATGTTCCTATTTTAATGAAGGAGTCATAATATAGGCAGCTCAATGGCCTGTCCCCAGGTGTAGCTTTGATCACAAAGTTTACGATTTCAGCCCACAGTTTCTCTTACATCATGATTTTAATATTTTAGAAATCCCTTTCCCACCCCAATTTCCCCTGTCCAGTATGCTTCTTAGGGTCTGTTACATTTAACAGTTGATGAAGGCACTAAACACAGATGGCCTGTCAAAGGTCCATAGCCATTGCTATTGATTGGATACTGCATAATTTCAGTATATGAGAGCATTGTCCCAAAACCTCTTTTCAGTGCTAGGGCTCAGACCTTGAACATGTTACTCTGTCCGAAAAAATTGCTGAGTATATATGGTACATCTTTCAAATGAGTCTGCAGCCAGCACCCTAATACTCTGATTCAGAGTAATACAGACTAAAGGAAAATTTCAAGGCTACCTTGAATGAACAGCCCATTTCATTTTACTCTGTCATTGTATCATAATACATGAAAAATGTTTAAATGAAGCATTTATGAAAATATTAAAGCCAAATATTCAAAGCACCATAAATTGAGCTTCACCATCAGTCAGGGATGATTAGCAATTATTGGGTAGTGCAGTCAGAACACATTCTTTGACAGACCCATGTGATATCCAATAGGGTAGTGCCTTAACAGGTTATGCTTGATTTTTAATACAATTGGTCTGATGAGCTGTTTGATTATTTTTTTACAGAATACAATGCTGCTATTTTGCAGTTAAAGAGGGAGCACAAAGATGAAGTTGAAAAATTGAAGGTAAATATTTTTTTCTATTCACTGGTAGTCTTTTGAGTATTACTCAGATCAATATAATCCTGTATGTATTTTTATATCTGTTTTCTATTAGAGTATACTTGTAATCTTCATAATTTGTCAGACACATCTAGTAAATCATGCTATTAATCATTCTTATGCACAGAACTCAGTTATCTACAAGAGGTGCAAGAGAAGAATACAGATCCATTTTGTCATTCTTCTGTTTACATGGAGCTATTGATTCTGTTAAAATTAATAAGACCAACCATATGCCCAAAGATTAGAGAGAATATAAATTTACATTCAATATATCTGCCTCTTTCAGTAAGTTTCACTTGGCAAGCATTTCAGTTTACCTTAGTTTGCAGAAAGAGTTTGGTTCCTTTCCTAAGAATTGACACTGTTGTGAAATAATCATCAAGGTGTGAATCCTGATCGAACGCTCATCTCTAGTGAAACTGGTTTTTGTAGTACAGAAACATGCACATTTGCTTGATCAGAGAAGATAATGGAACAAGGTAAACAGCTGTGTTTACCAAAGGAGGAGATACCTCTTTCCTACCACCTTCATCACTTAGTATCTGGTCCTAAGCATAGGAGCAAAAAACAGGAGAACCCACATCCATTTGATATCTTACGTCTACGTTAAAATATAATTTACAACTGAAACTGTTTGCAGTTTTCCTTCATATTGTCCATTTCTTGATCACAGTTAAATGCCTGCAGCATATCATGACTGAAAAGGCAGTGTGTGTGTGTGTGTGTGTGTGTATCACACCAGTATATATCTCCACATCCATCATTATTGCACACAGTAAGTGCTGGATCATCCCTTTGGATGCAGGAGTGGATATATCTTGGATATATTGAGTATATCTTCTCAATTTAAGATATACCATCAAATTTAAAAGGCTGGGCCTTTCATTCTGTGCAAATCCCTCATTTCTGACCATTAGCCATGCAGGTTCAGCTCATGGGAACTGGAGTCCAACAGAGTCTGGTATGCTGCAGGTTTCCCCTTTCCGGTTTCTCACAGAAATGCATTTTCTATATTCCCCACTAGAGGTCAGTTAAGCATCTCTTTTCCCTCCTCCCATGTTGAAGCAGTAGCTATAATCTTACTTCATTCTTAATTTCATTTGAATACACCAATAGATAGATTATATTACAGTTAAATATATTGTAATTTAACCATGGTTGCCATAGCAAGAGCTTTTTTGTTGAAAGGTTTAAAAGTACACCAAGGGAAAGGGCCAGGGTATCCATGGAGAACATCCAGAATGCAAATACAATTAACCTAATACGTTTAAAACATTTAAAGGTAGAATCCTATGCGTGTTTAGAGTCTTGCAGCTCCTAGTACTCCAGCTAGTTGTGCTGTGAATAGCTTGCTGGGGAATGCTGGGAGGTGTAGGCTTTGGTCCTTGTCTAAACATAAGTAAGTTTGTGCCCTTACTTGTACTAAATATTAATAACATTAAAAGTTTGGAAAAAATGGCCTGGTATTAATTATTGTAGTGCCTTTCTGCTGCACAAAACTTTGGAAGATGAAGGGTTTACTACTTCTACATTTGGGTAGAATATTGCCATCACACTTCCCCTTAAATTCCCACAAGTAATGGCTTAATTTTTTTTAAATGAAAACTGAAATTTCAGTGAAGGGGTGGGCCTTGCCACATAACTAGACTTATTGTTATTGTTGTGTTTCTATCTATAATGAATCTGGTTGGGGGAAAGATCAGAAGAAGGAATAGTGAGAAGACTTCTGTTCCCTAAGATTCCTAGGATTGGTTTGTGAAAAACCTAAAGTGAGTTTGCATACTCCTTGTTTTCCATAGGGAAGTTTCAGCATGAGTCCATGTAATTTTTCAGTAGCTACAATTGTGGAGTAAGGGGAATTAAAAAGGAATAACATTTTCAATAACAATAAAAACACTTTTTCCACTGGAAAGTTTACCAGTCCTTTATAGAAAGAATACTGACAATGGCAAGGGATGAGGGATTGAAATCACATAAACTGATTTGCTTATGAGGTGATAGGAATTCAAGATTTGTATGGATCCAACTGAAGTCAAAACTGAATCAAGTTCAAAAATGATCTAGGGTTTGGAAACATTACCCTATGCCAGGAGAGACTGAAAGAACTGGGTTTGTTCAGCCTTGAGAAGAGAAGGCTGAGGGGGGACATAATATCACTGATAAGTACCTAAAATACTGTCAGAAAGAGGAAGGACAAGATCTCCTCTTGGTCATACCACAGTATAGGGCATGGAATATCCGCTCAAGTTGTGGCAAACCAGGGTCAGGTCAGGCTAATCATCAGGAAAAGTTTCCTAACTGTCAGAGCAATACAACAGTGGAACCAGCTGCCTAGGGAGGTCATGGGCTGCCCCACACTAGAGTGAGTCAGAGATCTTTTCACAGTAAGAGTGAGGGCTCAGACAGTGATGTTACAAAGTGATGTTACAAAGGTCACTACACACAAGAGAGAAAGTTTGGAGGTTATGCACATCCATCCAATTAAGTGACACATCTGGATAGACATTAGCATCCCAAAACTGCAATTGGCAAGGCATTCTTGGATGCCCATGATGCCTCTACCAACTCCATTTCGAATAGCAGCTGTGCCTTTCCCTGGAGAAATTAGACCCAGTGTCAGCTGCCCATGTTTTATCACTAGCAGGTGGGTTAGTTTAACACTTTTTACATGTGGCTGCCCTTGAGAGCAGTATGGAAACTCAAAATGCTCCAGGATGTATCATGTGAAACAAAAACGCCAGGTCTTATTTCACTAATCCTGTGGGGGGGGGGGGTCTTCAATTTTCAACACTGTGATTTATGTTATATGTAAATCAATATAATTCAGCATTACAAGTTGTTGTTAGTATTTTTTCTGTACTATCTGATCACCATAGCTTTCTGGGTGGCTTAGAGCATCACATAGGTATAATAAGAATGTAATGTAAAAAGAGATAATGGTAAAAACATCAAAAAATGTACTACACAAGTAAAAGTCAGATTCAAAATGCAATTTAAACAGCTGCAATAGGTAACATAGATAAGAACACAAGATTTGTTAGATGGACAGCATTCAAAATATCCCCCACCAGCACCATCAGAATGTCACTCAATCACTACAAGGCTTTGACAGAAGCAAAATAAGGCCTCGGGCCTATGCAATACACTGGAACTTCACACAGACCACACAAAGTACAGAATATAAAACTATAATAGAATTCTGTGTAAAAACCCTAAGTTTACTACCATGGAGATGTCATTTTGGTTTGAAATGTAGCTTATTACACCATCATTAGTAAGTAGCCATCCTGATAAGTTAACAGCCTAATTGTAAGTATGCTTATTTAGTAGTAAATCCTTTTGTAGTCAGTGGGGTTCACACTGAGGTAAAAAAATCTGCAGTTGCATCCTATGCTAGACAGTATCTTGTCAATACATTAAGGTTGTAATCCTTAATATTATTGTAAGTGTTTCTGGTATATCCAGTATATTTTAGTTTATTTACAATGTTTTCTTCCTCAGAAAATATATTAGGTAGACTCATTTACCCACATTCTATACCAGTTTTTTAAACCCCAAGAATTTTTATCTTGAGATACTTAAAACAAAAACAAAAACCCAGATTCCCCATGTATGCAATTACTTCATTAGTAACACAAATATGCACTCTGAGTGGTTGTTCAGGACAATTGTTGCTTGCATACAGCTAGTAAATGCTGCTACTTTCTCTCTTATATCAAGAAAAAAAATACAGAAGGTTGGGCCTAAGGTGCCCTTCCATGAATGGAAGAGACTTGGACCCAGTACACGCTTCTGTGAATGAAAGTGTGGGGATAAGCTAATTTTTGGCACTCCCCATTCAAACACTTTTATGAAAGCATCCTAATACTCTGGAGAAGATTGTATAGGAGACTTATGGAAAAGAAAAGCTGTGAGTCAAGAGCACCCAATTTCCATGATCAGAACTGTGTTCACAGAACTTCGAATTTAGATCAGTGTTTATACAGTAGGAATAGGTATTGTTTAGTATTTGCTGATAATTATAATTATTATATGTCTGTAGGTCTGTAGGTAATTAACCGTTCCTGCTAGGATGAAAAACAAGGAATGGTTAATCACCCATTTAAAAAAAATATAAAATCCTATTGTTACTTTGATGGAGAATTAAGTTATTAGTAGTTTCTAGTGATTTTTAATACTACCTCTGATTATTAGTTGCTAGGAAACGCAGCCAGGAGAGTGCTTATTGCTTGTGGACTTTCCTAAGCATGGGTTTGGCTCTTGTGTGGACAGCATGCTAGACTAAACAGGCATTAGGTCTGTTCCAGCATATCCCTTGCAATGTTCTTATATAAGCTAAAACTATATGTAGAAAAGTTTTAGTTTGTGTATGTGGTAATGGTTTTTAAGAAGTGTGGTGAGTGACTTAGAACCTGATTTTTTTTCCAGTTTTGCTTTTTCAGCTGTTGAGATATAGTATTAGTACAGTAAATACCTCAGTTCACGAACTCTTTTGTTCGCGAACAATTCGGTTCCCGAACAGAAAGTTTTGCAAAATTTTGCCTTGGGTAATGAACACGATCATGGGCATCTTCCCCACACCATGACCACGTGTCAGAGTGAGGAAGATGGTCGCGATCATGTCCGTGCGGGTAAGATGGCCGTGATCATGTCCATGTGGGAAAGATGGCCATGTTTGTGTTCATGAACACAAACACAGCCATCTTTTCCACTCTGACATGTGGTTGCGGCTTCCTCTAGTCAAGAAGGCGGTCACAGACTCCCTCCAAACAGTAATCTCCTCCCCACCCATCTTCCTGTCCCCCATGCCAGAAGTCTCCTCAAGCAAGGTTAGCGTTCTCTCTCTTTATACTGTACTGTACTTTGTTTCATATTTTTGTGGTTAAAAAAATTACATATGGTTCAGAATGAAGTAAGCTTATTTACACCCCCCCTGCCTTCTCTGGAGTGTGTGGGGGGGG